GATGGGTGTCTTCTATCCCAGCATCTGCCACTGGGAATTGGCTGCCAGGAAGATGGATGGATTTGAATAATCCATGATAATAATCAAGAGAGATATTGCTGCTGTTTTAGTACTGAAGCACTCAGGAGTGATTCAAGCAGTATTCCAGCCAATGGTCTGGAGTGTCCCTAAGGAGGAGGAGAAACTTTGAAACTCTGGGTTTCTGTTTCTGTGAAGAGATTCCTAGCTTGGCGCTGCATTATTTTCCTTGCCACTAAACAGTGCTCAAGAACAAGTGCTTGGAGAAATAAGTGTCTCTTTAATTTCCAAGGTGAAATCTTATCAGCTGGTCAGGGCTGTGGTGTATGTCTGTGTGCAGCAGCCAGTAATCAGCAGTGGGCTCTTGCTGGCTACCAAGCTTGGCTTCATGTTCAGCCTTTCATGAAGCCACCTCCTGCTGACCTTCATAAGCTGGAAGTGCACATTGCCCACAGAAGTCCACTCTGCAGGCACACAGTAAGAGCAGGAAAGCTTTTGTCTCTGTCTCTTGCTCCTGCAGCACACCTACAAACCAGGCTACTCAGGCTGTTTGCTTGGGGACACATCCCAGCTCAAAGGATGACACCATTGGAAGCAAACAAAAGCTGGTTGGAGAGCTCATGAGCTGTTCAGGAAGGTGCTGTGGTACAGCATGCAGTGACAATCCTGTCTTTTGCTCTTTCTTTACAGGCCAAGATATTAAATCTGATGGCTTTAGTATTGAGACATGCAAAATCATGGTTGACCTGTTAGATGTATCCTTTCAAGCTCTTCCTAGATGACATTCCCCTTCCTGGGCTGAAGCAGGCCAGCTGCCTCTGCTCCCTGCTGGGTCCATTCTGGTGTACTTATGGCTCCTGAGGTGGAGAAGATGGCTTTACCCTGATTCCCCTGGGAAAGCCACTCCCTTGTTATTGTGGTTCACACGTGTGTTATCCCAGGCAATGGGAAAATCCATTATCAAGCAAAGTCTGCTTGGAAGCCTTCCCAGTTGTTGGGTGTTCTGGTTTAGCTGGGGACAAAGTGATGTTTGTGCTGGGAAAGGGCTCTCAGCATGGTGAGGATGGCCTTGGCTGCAGGGTTGTTTCACCTCTCTCTTGTCTGGCTGGAGTTGGTAAGAGCATCACAAAGCCACAGGAACTTAGCAAATGGAAAAAGAGGGACACAAATACAGTGTTTTGTTTTGACATGCCATACAGGAAGCAGAGAGTATGCAGGATTTTAGGACTTTTACTCCCAAGATACAGGCAGAAGTGTAGGATGAAGGATCAGGTCTAAGAATAGCTGTGTTCAGCTTCTCTGTGCAGTGGGAGTTGAATTGCAGGGTTGGAAAAAGGGAAAATGACCAACACAAGGTGATACTTTTCTATAATTTGGTGTAAAATACAGCAGTCCACAGGCACTCCATGGCAGGTTTTGGGAGCAGTGCCACGAGCAGGTTCTTTTGTTAGCTGTTTGCTCAAGAGCTGAAGGTCTCCAAATAGCATTTGTGGCTTTTCCTGTTTGTAATCCAGACCCAGGACTTGTGCTCCAGTAGCTGCAGGTGTTGAAGCCACTGTGCAGAACAAAATGGAATCATCCTGGCTCGTTTATACTTGTGGAAAGACAGAGACCTGCAGCAGGGGTGCAGAAAGAGCTTGTGAGCTGGGCATTATTTAAATTAATGATCTTAATGATTCAGAAAGATAGCTTGGACAATAATTGTGTATTCAACAGGATGAGTCCTGGAGACAGGATGAGTCCTTCAGAGAGGACTTGAATCCTTCTGTTCGCAATTTTTTTAAGTCATAACTGCCCATGCAAGTAAACCCAGCAGAGGGAGAGGAAACCCCTTTTTCTTCCCTCTGAAGAAACTTCCTTAACTCTGAGAAGAATGATGGGAGTGGCAAACTGGGACTGAAGGAGTTCCACACCCTCTGGACAAAGATTCAGAAATACCAGGTAAGGCACAATCCCTCTGGGAGAACAATCACACCTAGAAGTGCTGTGGACTGATTTGTGCCATACAATGTGCACAGTCACCTTTCCCAGAGCAGGGACTGGGTGTCTGCAGTCCCCCAGTAGCTCTTCATTACTACTTCAAGGCTACTTCATTAAAAAAACTTACTTTTTAAAGCCTTACTTTTAGAAGAAGTGGATTTAAGTACCAAGTCCTTCAGATCAATGTTGCAAAGTGCTTTAAGGCTGCATTTCAAAATGTTTCACTTCTGCCAGAAGCCAAACCACGCTCTGCATTATTGTCAAGGTTTCCCTTTGGGTTTTGTGTTTTGCAGAAAATTTACAGAGAAATCGATGTGGATCGATCGGGTACCATGAACTCGTATGAGATGAGGAGGGCACTGGAAACAGCAGGTATTTATATTGATCTGTCTCTTCATAGGATTCCATCAGTTTCAAGCAGGGTTGAGAAATGCTCAGAGCCATACAGTCCCATCTTAACTTACTGAATTTTGGGCACTCTGGAGCCTTCCCCTCCTGCCACCACGCAGGATCAGGGATTCAATTTTGTACTTGCGTTTACTCTTTGGAAATAGTCTTTAATAGTCTTTTAAGTCCTTGGCATTGTATTTCCAGGGTTCAAACTGAACTGCCAGTTACATCAGGTCATCGTGGCTCGCTTTGCTGATGAGGATCTCGTCATTGACTTCGACAACTTCGTGCGCTGTTTGATTCGGCTCGAAACCTTGTTCAGTGAGTGCACCCTCAGTAACCAGACATCTCTGCTGCCTTGTGATTCCAGCAGGAAAACTGTCCAGGCACAACTGTCCAGAGGCCCAGGATAAGATGCTCAAACCTGAGACTTTAATCTGGCTTCAACTAGATCCAGGAATCAGTCTTTTAGGCCAGGCTCCTGAACCGCAGCCAGTCTTCCCTGCAAACAACTCTTATGTTGATTAAAAAATATTAGACAGCAATTAAAGATGTTCAGTCTTGCTCCTGCACAATGACTTTGGAGTGGCCCTTTCTGATTTGGAGTGTAGGCCATTGTCAAGTTTTAGATTCTGGGATTAAATTCCTTATTGATCCTGAAGCCCAAGGAAAGGGAAGACTTTCAGATTAGTTCCTGTATTTACCCTTGTCTGTCATCTCTCTCCAACCACAGAAATGTTTAGAAAACTGGATACTGAGAAAAGTGGGACAATAGAATTGAACCTTGTTAACGTAAGTTCATTTAGCTCTAAAACATTTGTTTTCATTTTTGGGGAAAAATGGGGGGGTGGGTAGAATTCTGCCTGAGGATGGCTGGTTATAAGTACTCACATCTGTGCTGGATTTATCTACCCTGTGGATTCATAAACAGCCTTAGAGAGGTTACCTTTTAAAAATATATCAATATCACAACATATTCTCTAACAGACACAGTTACTTGTATCAGAAGCCCTTTATCCCTTTAGTTTTGGCTTCTTCCCTGCTTTTTGTGTCAACAGACCGAAATGTAGGTGCAGTTGTGTAGGCAAGACTGATGGTCTTGCTCACATCTGCTTCTTTCTGCCTTTCATGTGTGCCCTGTAGAAAGGACTAAGTTTGGAGAAAAGTACCCTCCTACGTATCTCTGACTTGCTTATTACCTGAACATAACTTATTTCTGAACCTAAGAATCCCAAAACTCTGATTTAAGTGAAATATAAATTTAAATCACTCAGGAAAGATCCTAAAATTACTTCTGTAACTACAGGCTGACTGTATGCTAGAAATGCAACTGTGCACGCTTGCTACAGGTCTTTTTACTAAATTTAACTTTGTTTTCTCCTCTCTCTTGTTACAGTGGCTGTGCTTCACTGTCATTTGAGCCACTGGCATCAGCTTGAGACCTCAACAAGAGCATGGTCAGGTGAAATATTCAAGCTACATACAAGTAATATCCAAACATGAATGTGCCTTAACTTACACAAAGCTAGCAGATTTTACATGCAATTGCAAGAAGAAAAGCATTCTACTTCCACAGAAGAACCTGCAACCTCATTTTTATGGGTCTGACAGTCTGTGCCTACTATCATACAGCCTCTGGACAAAGGCTTTAATTTAGTATCAATCCTCAGTGTAAGTTTTAAAAACACTGCTTTGCTAATATCTTTGTATTTAAGGCATTTTACAGGACTTCAGGAAGAAAAGCTCATTATAGCTTGACAATCTGGTTTTAAAAAGTGCTTTTTGAACAACATCCTGCATATCTGAAATTAGTAAAGAGATAGTAATGCATATCTAAACACTTGTACTCAGAGATAGGGGTTCCAAGCCCCAGCACTATCCTAGTTGAATATTCTTTAAAGAATTTGAGTAGTAAGTACATCTTTGACCAAAATGAGCATTGATGTGCCTGGAGCAGGAGGCTGTTGGCAACAAGATTTTTCCAAGAGAAAGCCCATGCTTTCAGGTGGAATCTTGAGCTCCTGTATCTTATTTATCTTCCTTTGCAATACAAAAACGTATTTAAATAAAAAAAATAGAAATAAAGTTTGTCAGACTGTTATTTCTGCTGAAAATAAGCACTTCTGGGGTTGTTTTTTTTCTTAGAGATAGATCATCACAGTGCACATGCAGAGCCTTTTGCTTTCAGGAACAGAAGTTGCTGCCCTTTAAAGGAGAAAACCAGCATGCTGGAGCTGACTGTGGATGTGTGGCAGTTGATGAAATGTTAGATAAGCTGATACTTTTAAAGACTAGTGCTTGAACAACCAAAGGTTTCTAAGACAGATAACTGATACAATATACCACACTCAAGACTGTTGAAAGCAAAGGCTGTGACCATGAGCCAATTGCTGCTGCCTTTAGCTTCCCCACCTGAAGAACTGTGGGGAAATTTCTTCCTTAGAAACTATTTCTTCCTTTTGGGCACCGTTTCAGAAAGCAGTAGGATTTACCTAGTAGAACAGAAGCCTGCAGGGTGAGGCACTTTCTAAATACCCTTAAGGAATTATTTGCTTCTCTGTTAAATACTGTTCAGTATCCAATTATTGCCAAATGGAGAGATAGAAAGGATAGCTCTATAAGAAAGGCTTTATTTGGAACATACTTGTACCAGGTTTGGTTTTCTCCTTAACTATGTCCCTTAGCTTTGAAGGTTAACAATGTGTCATTAACAGCTTCAGCTCAATTTTAAATGCAAATAAACTATCTTGAATGGATGGGGGAAGAGGGATTCAGTTTAATACAGAAAGTAGCTGAAAGTTAGTGTCATGTACAAGAGCAGTGTGTCTTACTAGTAACATCTCTAATAAAAATCACTATTAAAATACCCAGAGTTAAAGCTTCAGAGGAGACAAAAGTTTAATGGTGGAGTAAACAAGTAGAGTAAAAACAAGTACATTGTCAAGAACTACATAAAGTTTCTACACTTAGTCTTCAAAGTACAAAATACAATAAATACATGAGGCTCTTTGTAAAAAGAGGAATCTAAAACTACATTTCTGTTACAGCACATGATATTTTGAATACATAGAATTTCTAAGATGCTACAGCTTTTTTAAAAGTTATTGCTTAATGGTTGTCACTCTTCAGATGCACTTCAGATTTTTTAGCTTCTTTTAACAAAAATTCTGCTTCCAGCAATAAGCAGTTGGGTGCTGTGCACATACTTCAATTTCTCCCATCTGGAAAAAGCCTCGGGATAAATTTGGACAGAGCCAAGTTGTCTGTTTCATGATGATTCCTTCAATGGCAATTTCAAAAGGTCCTTGTATTTAATGCAGAAAAGAAATTAAACTCTCTTCTGCCATGTTTGAAGACAGCTGGGTGGGTACTTGAACATAATGGCTTGATTTGACCAAAGGCAGCAGAATTTCATTTGCTTGTAAGCATTATTTCATCTTGTACAATGCCCTCATCCATTTGCTAATGCATCAATCCTTCATTTGTTTTCAAAGCACATTTTTCATAGCTTTCAAATTACATTGTCATTGAAATCAGTCTCATGATATTGGAACCAACACAAAATGGACTTTTTTTTTCTGTAAGTTATCCGTGATTAGTAGTTCAAGAATCTGGCTTCTGTACTATTTCATGCCAAGCTTCTTTGTCTAGGTTTAATCCTTGGATACAGCTGAGGGTAAAACAGAAATGAGGTTTAAAAATTTAGTACTTTAAAGGTTACTCTTTTTTAAAAGAAAAAATAAAGGAACAAAAGACCCCTCTCTTTGGTGCTACAATTCTGATGTAACCCCTAGCAGCAAAAGCATGGTTATAAAAAAACACCCAGGGCACTGACAAATATGAATTTAGCAGTCTTAGGCAAGCTTAAAAAAATACCGTGTCAGTACAAGAGGAAAGTATTGAACAGCACATAATTAAGTACTTTCAGCTCTACCCAGATGGGTGGGCCAGGAAAAGCATGGGTGGCTGTGTAAGTCAAGAGACTTCTGTTGTGTCAGTACAAGAGGAAAGTATTGAACAGCACATAATTAAGTACTTTCAGCTCTACCCAGATGGGTGGGCCAGGAAAAGCACATGGCTGTGTAAGTCAAGAGACTTCTGCGTTCAGTGAACTGTGGGATTGTTCCCTGTTTTATAAATGGGGCCAGAGAGGTGAAGTCTGGCTTGCTTTCTCTCACCTATCAGCTTTTATGGCAGTATAGCTTTGGGCAAGCTGGAAACACCTGTCTGCAGAAGAATTATGGAGTGGAGGAGCTGTAGAGAGTGGAGGGTGGGTGCCCAGTTCCATGAATGGAAACTGGTTCCTGCCAGCCTGTGACCCCTGGGCCAGGTGCTGGTCACACACACAGGGGTGCAGGGGAAAACTGACAGGACACAGCTTGGGACAGCACACAGCAGGGACAAGTGTGGCATTCACATTCTCTGAAAAAATCCCTTCACCCAGGATTTTTCTCCTGGGAAGCTGAGAAGCCTCAGAGAAAAGGAAAACAATTCTTATCTCATTTGCTTCTCCTGTGTTTTGCCCATGTGGAATGTGTTTGGAGATTGTTTCATTGGTTTCATGTGAATTGTTTTGACTCAGTGGCCAATCAGGGTAATTTTGACTCTGGAAAGAGTAATGAGTTTTCATTATTATCTTTTTAGCATTCAGTAAGTATATTTTCTGTATTCTTTAGTATAGTATAGTATTCTTTAAAATGATATATTATTATAAATTAATAAGTTAGCCTTCTGAGAACATGGAGTCAGAGGCATCGTTCCTTCCTTCATTGGGACATTCCCAGCAAATACAATAGACAAGATGCCTGGGAAGCTGTTGGCTCCCTTGGAAGGGCTTAGGGAACAGCTGCTGTTCTGCAAGGCATGGCCCCTGGCATGTGAAAATAGGAGGATACACTTCACCCAGTTAGGAGAGATGAATGCTCCGTGCTCTAACTGGCAATGCATGTCTACATCACAGCTTAAAGCTCTCCTCAAAGCTGCCCCTCTCTCTTTAACCAGACTCTGGCTTTCTTCTTTTCTCAGGCACTAAGACCAGGTCAATGACTTCACCACAAGGTCTGTCTCAGCCTGCTCTTACAGATGAAGTCAGTCAGTTACAGCATCCTAGCACCTGACAGTATTATCTTATTAGCACAAGGAGCCAGGGAGTCACTAAAAAGGGTAGAGCACTGATACAGATAATTTAATCCTTGTTTTTATCCAGTACACCTGGCTGCAAAAGGATAAAAATAAGAATTAATCTACCAGATGTTTTCCTCTTTGGTGAACATCATAGATCAGAATTCAGCTGCTATATTAAAAGGCCAGTAATTGCTTTGGAGAATCACCACAGGATGTTTCAGAACAACTGAACAGACACAGGAGTGCCACAGTTAATGAATACTGTGTAGTTTTCCTCAAAGATTCTCTTGGGATTGTGTTGTGCTTACAAAGGTAAGTTTTGATCTCCAGTTTAAGCTGTGCTGCCTTGGGTTTGGTTGGGTTTTTTTTTTTTCCTAGAAGCACAGATGTTCCTTGTGTTCTTACACACCTGTGCTCAGGCTCAAAGCACAAGCTTATGAACAAGCACTACATGCACAATTCACCCCAGGGCAGGCAAAAATCAAAAAGCTGCCATTTTAACCTTACTGTGCAGGGCTGATGGCTGCTCTCAATTTAGAAATGTTTACTTTGGAGAGGAAAAAACTGAGCAGGAGTAGTATGTTAGGCAGGATTTTACAGTACATGGTCTGTAAGCCTGACCTGGAAATTATGCAGACATGAAAACTGATTTTGCATTAGATAGAGTTGCTCTGCAAAATCCAACCAGTTTAAGGATTATCTGCATGAGGAAGGAGGCTCAGCCTCTTTCAAGCATCATACATCAATCAGCTAAAATTCACAGTGGTTAATCTTGGAGAATCTCTTATCTCCAGCACCAGGGCAACTAGAATTGTAGAAAAAAGCTTAATGGAATTTTTATATATGTGTCCATCTGCCATCATTTTCTAGCAACTCAGCTATGAGGAGAAATACAAGGACATAATTGAAAGTATCTTATTTGTACACTGTTGTTTTCAATAAAAGGCAATACAAAAGGTGATGAGAGAAGGAGAGGCCATTCATGTAAGGCCTTAGACATATAGTTAAATGTTACTTTAAAAGCATATGAGAAAACAAAGATCTGCCTTTACTGAGCAATGTAATCTGTTTTCCAACACTAGAAAAAAAGGTAACCTAGATTTTTGCAGTGTTTATATCCTTGGATCAAAACTCACTCTTCATGCAAGTTTCAGTTCTGAAAGCCCTTTGTGCCAGTACATCGCTTTTTTGGAACAGGGAAAATTCTCAAAAAGTCATAGAATATCCTGAGTTGGAAGAGACCCCCCAAGGAATCACTGAGTTCAGCTCCTGGCCCTACACAGGACAGCCCTAAAATCACCCCATGTGCCTGAGAACATGCTCAAGAAAACCTTATTCACATATCATGTTTGGATAAAAGGGTTTTTTTTAAAAAAGGTGTTTTTTAAGATGGTGAGACAAAGTTGGTATTAGGGCCTGCTGTGTATAGCAGGGTGGTGATATGCTGTTCATTTGGGCACCCATTAATCTGTGGTAAGTACCTTTAACAGAGGGTGTTAGCCCACTCTGCCAAAGCATTCAACTCCCTAAATAAAGATGGAGAACGTCAACTCCTTCCTCTCAACTCTTAAAGCTGCACCTCGATGCAAGGAGAACACAATGCTGTGTACACTCCACATGCTGGGGTGGGGATTTTTGGCTCTGGAAGCAGCCAGGACTCACCCCTAGCAGGTTTCTGGGCACGTAGCCTTCCTTGTCATTGAGCCGTGCCCACCACCACTCGACCTCCTCCTCATCCTCGCGGCGCAGGATTGTCATGCAGTCCCCTTCCTTCATGGACAGCTCGTCGTCGTTCTGAGCCTCGTAATCCCACAGCCCATAAATCACTCCTTTGTTCATGATCCCCATCTTCTCCTGCACTCCTGCAACATTGCAAACACACAGCAGCTCAGCCGAGAAGAAAAGATATAAATAAAAAGGACAGCAGGAGGGAAGACTCCTTTATTCTTACTGAAAGACAGTCCAGGAAAAAACTCCAAAATTCCTACCTACTTGGCACCATATTGCCTACTGAGAGCTGGCCCTGGAAGAAGTGGCTTTGTAAAGTTACTTACAGCAGACAGATTCCTTCCTTAAACATGCTCAAAAAGTACAAGGCAAACGGAGAGAGCAGCACTGACTGATACAAGGTTATATTTTTGTGTCCACGCTTTCTAGACCTAAGTGATAAGCAAGAAACACTTTCTGTACTCTTAGTGCAATAGTAATTTCCTTCTGTCACAGGGAGATTGCAATACCTGCTTGGCTTGACCACCACTGTCATTTTGATGCTTGTGGTGTCATTTGCCACCTGGGTCATTTCATTTCAGAACTTTACAGCAAGTTGCATCTCAGCCCTCTACCTGAGAGATTTGCCTGCTACTCTGCAGCTGCTTTTGGTTATCTCAGCAGTTCTTAAGTTCTGACACTATTTTTTCTTGTTTTAAACACTGCCTTCAGAAACACAAGTCTGTTCAATTATTTCTGGGCCAAGGTGTTTTATTACCACCTACATCTGTTAAAGGAAACATCTGCTCAAATCAAGTTCTTCACTTCTGCACACCAGCTCAGCACATAACATTAAATTACTTCCAGTGCATGATAAGCTCTGCTCAGAGAAACTCTTCCCTTGCTTTGCATTTGGTATAATGAGAGGTTGGGCCAAAGCTGTGCTCTGCACCCAGGGAAGGGAAGATTGAGCATTGAGCATCAAAGAAGATTCACACAATGCATGTGGTGTCCTAAAGGGGTGCTTGTAGTCACACCAGGGTAGTGGGGCAAACAGACTCAGTGCAGGCATTCCATTTAAGAAAGTGAAAATTTCCATACTTCAGCAGCATCAGACCCATAATTTCATCAATGCTAAAAGATGATTGGTTTTATTTAAACCTACCTGTACTTCTTACATGATATTGGACATCATTTGCAACAAAAAAGATTAGGTGACTCAATGAATTACACCAGGGTTTATTAGCTCAATAATGAGTTTAGAGGGCCAGGTTTTAGAGCAGTTCTGGAAACAGATACACATTCCCAAACTATTTTACAGAATCAGTTTTAGGCAGGGAATAATTTCTTACAGTTACTACAGGCAAACAGAACCAGTCTTAGCAATAGGACTAATTTCTGATGAAACAATAAGGAACTTTGGTAGCTGAACAGCCAATACCATCAAGAGACTGAAACCACTGAAACTATCTGGAAAAACTGGCCAAACTTAATAGGCCAAAGCCTTACAGTCCTTTCAGGACCCGTCAAAAACTATCTCATAACACAAGAAGAACCCAAACTCAACAAAAAACAGAGTATCACATGAAAACATCGGATGCAGATCATATAAAAACCCACAAACAAAAAGAATGGATTTCTTCATGCTGTATATAATGAGACCATGGACCTCCTTTCCACAGGATCCTACGGGGAGTTTATCTGAATCTAAGAATTAGACCAAATTCTGTAAGAAATCCCTCAAGAGCTGTTCAACACAAATATACCATCTCTTAATTCATGTCTGAGTTAAAACCAGTTTAAAATATTAGACGAGTATTTTTTAATCTAATCCTGCAATCTTCCTTGTGCATTTGGCATTGACGACCTCCCTTGGAGTCTGGATACAAAACCAAATGGAACTTTGCTTAGCCTACAAATTTTGATGCCAGTTAAAAAGGCTTCCTCCCTTTCTTTCAGAGAAAACTATATATTTGGCACCAAAGACACTGTTTTCAAGCTTAGTGAGGACAGCTGGACAGACTGTTTTGAAATCTCCTGGCTTAGGAGCAGCTTAGAGAAACTCAGCTCTCAGCTGTGCCACAAAAGCAGAAGGGCAGTTTTACAGCTTTTGCTGCTGAGTTACATTGCTGTTACTCTAACCTCTTGCAGAGAGATGACACACCAGCTGGTGTGTGCCTAGGGGACATGAGCTACATACAAAACCAAGAAAAGTAATTTAAAACCTCATTACACACAAAACATAGAGTAAAGTAATGTAAAACCTCACTGACTAATACTCATCACACCCCAGGGGGAATTTGTTTTCTCCATTCAAAGATAGTATCTCTGCAGCCCTTACTATTTGAATAAAATCTAAACTTACTATGGGATTTCTTCTGAAATGCAAGTGAAGAAAAAAGTCAGGAAGGTAAAGTCAAATTCAGTGCTTACTAACATCCATCAAGGCAGAACTTGGCAATACCTTTTCTGGTTCTAAGGTGCCCATGAGGAAATACTCATTTCAAGACACCAGGTAACAGCTATGAACTGCCTACTGACATATCCATACCACTGTTGTTCTCATGTAAAGAAGTTCTTATGTGGCAAGAGTCACCTAATTGGTGTATCTGAAGCACATGCTTCAAAGTCTTTAATATAAAGAAACCTTTTGTACTCAGCTCTCCTCCACAGGGTGAGTATTACGAAGTTAATCTCCATGGAACTCAGGAAGCTGGTGAAAACCGCTGTCTTTCCAAGAGGAACCTGTAGGCACCCAACCTGAGCGTGCAGCTCACCCCTCCTCATGCACAAATGAAGTGAGAGGTGGCAGGGGAGCCCCTGGCGTGCTGCAGGGCTGGGGATGGCACTCACCATACAGGAACTGGGAGCACTGTGTGTAGCCTTCCTCCATCTCCTCGCACTTGTCCGCAGCCGTCTGCATGTCGCTGTAGGTCATGGCAAACACCGCTGCCCCCGACTCCACCAGGAACTTGCACACCTGCACGTTATTGCAGGATGCTGCACAGTGCAGAGGGGTCCTGCAAGGCAAGCACAAGCAAGAAGTGATGGCACTTCACTCTCAGTGCTCACAGAGCCCTGGGAGCAATCAGCATCCAAGCCTGTAGGACCTGGGCAATCAGCCCTGCCCTGCTGAGGGCTGCCCAGCACAGCACCTAACTCAGCAGGTCAAGAGCAATCCCTTTTCACAGGTAACAGGAGCTACTGAGAGCTGCTTGAGCCCTAAAGCTACATTTCCATACAGATTTCAAGTAATTCTACCTTTACAGTGTAGTTCAGAGAAACAGGATCTTGGTAACTTACTAAAAGTACTTTCAACAAATTTCTGATATGTTTATTTAACTGTGAGCAAAGTTCACATGGATTTTGCCTACCAAATTATCTCATAACATGCCAGACAGGGAATGAAACACAATATGAAAAAATGACAAAAAAGTGTCCTGCAAATCTATAGTCTTGATGCTAAAAATCCACTGTGAATTTAACACACTTAAAATCAGCCTCCAAGTATGATCACTTGGAACCTGTTAGGATTTAATCCCCTCAAGAACAGATCTAGGTTCTGCACTAGTCCAGAAAAACTATGACTTCCCAGTTTCAAACAGGATTTAAATTCCTTGTCTTAGAAATTAGCATTTGTACCTCATAAATTATTCTCTGCACAAGGTCAAACTCCCCCTCCAAAGATGAATCCAGAAGCAATGCCAAGGGATTGAACTTCACTCTCATTCCATGGCCAATCCTTTCAGAGCCAGTCTTACGCAAGTTTGTCCTCTTCCCCTGTGAAAGGCAACACAAGTTACTGGCATTTTTTTTCCTGGAAAGATGATGAATGCAAAAGTGATTATTTGGGAATGACAGCAGAAATTATCAACTAGAAAAGTGCTTAACAGGAAATTTATAGTATTTTTTACGATTCCCCAAACACATTGTGAATATATTAGGTTAAGCATGTTATGAAAGATCTCTGCCTTTGTCTGTGGACAAGGTCATTATTCAACTCTCATACAGAAGTTACCTTGAGCAAACATCAACAAAGCAGTGAAACTACCAAAGATCAGGAAAAGATGCAATTTATTTTTTTTTATTTTTGGACAATTTTATTAACTCTCATAGCTGCTAGACAAACCAAGCAGCACACTCCACAAACTACACTAATGTAAGTGCTGATCTAAAGTTCCAACATTTTTGTAAGTATACCAGAGATTAGCAGGAGCAAACAGAGATAGAAGATGGTTTTGGAAAAATACAGAGCCAAGTGTAGAATTGCTTTAGATGCTCCCATTGATTCCCAAGTATTTCTATAGCTGAGTTTGTACCCACTCCTTTAGGGAACACGCTCGCATTAGCTCAGCGCTCAGCCCAGCTGCCTGGGCAGCAGCAATAAGACTATTCACGAGGGTATGTAAATTTCTGACAGATGTCCAAGCAAAGATGAATAGAACTGACTCATATTCTGCAAGAGTAGGCATGTGGAGATAAGATATTTAAGTAGAGATTCCCATGAAATGCTCTTCTGCCTGTAGATTTGTATGTAATATCAAAAGTAGAGGCTTTTCCAAGAGCGAGCCTGGCAGAACAACCCACAGATTTAAATATGAAATCAAGAAGTTGGGCTGGTTTCTTCTCATCATTGCAGAATTACTACAAAACCAAGCAGAAGTGAGTTCTCACAATTCAGGAAATTCTACCACTCAAGTTTCCTTGTAAAAGGGAGCAAGAACAAAATCTTTAAAGCATGAACACAAGAAATGTCTACTCCATGCACAAATTAAAAGGTTAAAAAGCACATTTAAATGTTTTAACTCCTCTGCACTGAAGTGATAGAGGAAAAAACCACTTTCATGTATCAGGTTATGAAAACTGTTATCAAAACTCTACTCTTGATAGGTTTTTAAAGAAAGTCTTTGAGAAACCAAAAACATTAAGCATTTTTTTTCTGCAACAATGAGATAACATCATACCTCATACAGATAGAAACTTGCAAAATAAAATAGTAAAAATGCTGCCTCCTCCCAGCCCCAAAAAACTCCATTTTGATGCAACTTGAGAGTAGACTGATGGTAAATCAGATTTCAAAGAAATTCAGGAAACATTGAGTAGAAGAAGTACAAATAGCTGATATCTACAAATGAGTTTTTTACATAGAAACTAAAGAAGTCTGTTCCTACATATTTTTCAAGAAAGGCACTTTCAGATAAACAAATGCAATCCAGGATTAAGAAAATTAGTCCCCATCTCATACTAGCAATAGTGGGAAATGCTTGTGAAATCTGTATCTGTACCTCAAGGGGAAAAAAAAAATCCGCTTTAATTTTTCTTAAAATGGAAGTAAAATCTGGGTACAGGCAGACTTCTAGAAGGAAGGATTCTTTACAGCTCTGTAGTTTTACTATTTGTGTATTCCATTTGAAACTTTTCATTATGTAATTAATTCTAGGGTAAGAGAGACTTTTCATTACTGTCTGGAGATAAGAGCATCACACAAATAGAACAGATACCAACAGAGAGACTTCTAGACTGTGTGACTGTTCTCCCACGTCTGCTTGAGCTCTACAACACAATGCACAGGGTTTATGGCAGCACTCGAGATGATTTAATGACAGGGCACCCCAGTTGTAAGCTAATACTTACAGGAGGCAAGGAAAACTGCCCAGTAACTTCAGGAGGCCTCATATTGAATGAGTCCTCTCCCAAACTCTCTGGTTCCCCTGAAGGATAGGGAGGTGGTGGGTATGGAGGATATTCTTCCATGTACACCTCCAGTGGCAGTGGAGCTTCTAGGTTTGGCTCTTCTGCTTTGGGCTGCATGAGTTCATCGCTGTCTGACACAGCCTCAGGCACAGGGTCCAAAGGTACAGGGGGAAGAGCAGCTTCACTCTGCTCTGCTGCTGTGCTTTCTGTCTCCTCAGCAATAGCTGCTTCTGGCATGGAAGCAGCCGTTTCTTTTTCTGCCTCCGTGCTTAAATAAGGATTTGGGATTTCCACTGGGCTTTCAGGACTGGCAGCTGATGCCGCCTGTTTGGAGGGATGCGAGGGAGCCGAGATAGTCTCCATTGCAGCCAGGGTGGTCCTCTGATAGAGCAGCTTCTGGATGTTGGGGCCATTAGGCCCCTCGGGCTCAGTGATGGAGCTGCGCTTCTTCAGCGGCCGGGGCGCGTTGGACAGCTTCTTGCGCAGCGCCTCCAGGTCGGCGTCGCTCTGGTTGCGGTAGGGGTTGGACAGGAAGGGCAGCAGCTTGGTGGGGCTCAGGGGACGGGGGATCCTCTCTGGTTCATGGTTCTCATGAGCAGAGGCTGCTGTTTCCACCTCGGGCTCTGGGCTGCCTGGCTTGCCCTGGAGGTTGGAGTAGATGTTGTCTGTCTGCGGCAGCTGGTTCGGCACTCCAGCTCCTGCCATCACGGGCTTGCCATACACTGTGGAGCAGTTCAGAGAGGGGTCAGGGAAAAAAGTTTGAGTATTTGATCAACAAGAGAACAAGAACAAAGAAAGGTGAATCAGGTTGTGTATTCTTTATGTAGAGCAAAGAAGCAGAATACAAAAAAATGAACAGAACTGATCTGGTAACCAGATCTACCATTAGTTATCTTGCAAATCCAAGACACACATTCTGCACTTCTTGTTAACACTCTTACACAGCATGGAATATCCATCCAAGATTCTTACAGCTGCCCTCACCCACTTAACTCCCCTGAAGAACAGCTTCATACCCACAGACCAGGTGGAAAGAACATCCATCTGAGGTTTATCAGACAGAAGAGAGGGAGAGAACCACATGCTTACCACTTGGGAAGTGTGGTCCTCTGGTCTGTGCCCTCGTCAAAGCACTCTGCACTGCCTGCTGGAAGTTCTTCCCAGGAGTCTGCTGCTGGGTGTACATGCTGTAAATGGAACTTGCAGCCACAGTCTGAGGCTTTCGAAATGGTGGCAATGAAGTCTCTTTGGATGGCTGAGGAGTAAAAGGTCTCACAGCTGCTGCTGGGGGACTCTCCTGTTTGGAGGAAGGAAGAATTTGATCCTGGCTAGAGGAAGAACCTGCAGGAGGTACTGAAATTCTTTGCTGTATCTGCTGAGAAGGATGAGAAGGCTGCTGTGCCACTGGCTTTTGCTTGTTCCCCACAGCTGCAATAGCCAAAGGCAGCTTCTGCAAGTTTCCATCCAGCTTTGTATCAGCAGGTTGAAGGTGACTGGCTTGACCAAAGTAAGGCAAGTTTATCTGTTTTGGTTTGGTGGGGACAGGCGGTGGCACCTTGGTTACATTTTTATTGGTTGTCTGAAAGACAAAAAAATTCATTAAGATAAAACAGTAAAACGTGATTTAGGAGTTCTGCTATGAAGGACCAAAGTGTCTCAAAATATGACACTACTGCTGTAATAAGGTTTACAACATCACTGAAACCAGGAAGAAACTGCTTGAAACATTTTGTCACCACTGATATTTTCAAATACTTTGAGCCTATTCTCTTTAATTCTTCTGTAATAGCTATGTCTAAAACAGGAGCAACAACAGGTCACAATGATTTTTCTAGAGATATCAGACACTCAGTTGGCAAGAGGCTGCTCTCCAACAAAGCACCTGTTATCCCCAGTTGTAAGCTAGTGCACCCCTACCTGATCAAACTGTGTCCAAAATTTAGGTGGCAAGTTTTACTGCTATCCAACATCTGAAGGACAGTGGTGCATTAAAGAGTGAAACAAGTACGCAGATGATTTTGAAATAAAAAACAAACATGCAAATACCTCTTTGTATCTTTGGGGGAAAAAAATACACACTTGTACAAGTAATACAGCCATAGATTCCCATCACAGCGACTGCAGAGAATGATTTGACGTTACCAATTGCCACTAAAAGCCTTAGAGGGTTTTTTTTCTCAGAAGCAGCATTTTAAAAGCTGACCTCAGTAGTTCTCAGAGCTGTCTGCCAGCCCCATGAGAAGAGCTGTGGGTAAGGCCTGGCAGATGGGGAGCAGCAGCCCGGGCTCCCTGCATACCTGTGCCTCCCGCAGGAGATCCTCGCTGCTCTGGTTCTTCCTCAGGGTGCCCAGCCCAGCAGACTGCTCCACAGAGTCAAACATGGAGAAAGGACGCACCTTCTTCTCTCTGTCTCGTAAAAGAGCTTCTCCTTCAGCTGCTGTTGGAGAGAGAGGAGACAACTTTCAAAAGGGATGAGGGACTCTCATCCCTACAGCTGTAGGGATGAGAGTCCTGCTGTGTAGCCGCATTTCCCTTCACAGAGAAAAGCAAGGCACAACTTCCCAAGGATATTTCTGGGATTCACATTCTCTGAACCTCAGAGAAAGAAAAAACAGTTCTTACCTCATTTACTGCTCCTGTGTTTTGGAACAAGTGGAATGCATTGAGGAAGATTATTTACCTGAAGGAATTTGCTTGACTGGATTCTGGTGTGTTTTGATTCACTGACCAATTGAATCCAGGTGTGTGTGTTTGGACTGTTGGCTGACAGTCACGAGATTCTGTGCAGTTGAGCTCAGTGCTTGGCAGATTCAGTTCAATATAGTGTAATATAATATAGAATAATATAGTATAATAAAGTACTTATTTAGCTTTCTGATAAGATGGAGTCCCCCTCATCATTTCTCCCCATCGTCAGGGTTGTCCTTTCTATATATAGAAACTATATTTCCTATTGCTGTGTGCAATATTTACCAGAGAGGATGGATGCAAAAAGCATCCCCTGCATATAATCTCTGCACTAAGGACCCCTGGGCCTGTCAAATGCTGTATTATGCAAATTCAACAGGGGCATGTAAGAAGGAACTAGGATCTTCTTCACCACCTGATGCAAGTTGTGGGTTTGGTTTCTTCTTAGAAACCCTGCAACACCATAGCAAAGCAAAGGCAATGTTCTTCCTTTTTTTTTTGTGTGTGCTTTCAAACTAATTCTCAATTATTTACTGAAGCATTTAAAAGAGGGGTATCATGAACTAGATTCTCCAAATGTTCAGATTAGCCAAGCACACAACAACATACCTTGTCCTTCACTTGTCACAAATCCTTTTCCAGAAGTCAAGGCTGATCCTTGATTAATATGATTGTCTGTATTTGAACTACTCCAGTCAGGAGCAGATGGGGAAGGTTTTGCATTGGGGACTACAGAACCTAGGAGAGATTAAGTGGAACAGATTAAGCTAGAATAGTAGTTTTTATTGACTTATTACAAATAGGTTTTTTTTCCATAAGACTCAGGTCTAGCCAATGTAAAAGTATCACACAGAGGTTAACTGCTATAAAACCAATCGTTACAGATTTTCATTTGTTTTAAGAAGAGAATGCAAATGAAGTTGAAGAACAACTACCAAAATCAGCAGCAAAACTCTTTGTCACAGCACACATCTGCACTTAAGGCATTCAAAAAAGAAACTTCTCTAGATTGGCTTATTTCAAGTTAGTAGGAAACTTTCCTTCAGTATCTATGCTAAGTTAAAAGTGATACAACGTTACATATAAAAAAGATATATTGTGCAAAGAAAAACATGATGCTTTAAAGCTCTGCCATGGACAGCCTAAAGAGGAGAAAATTTGTCTGTGTGTTTAATGTGCATATAGGGCCTGCATTAAAGATCTATGATTTTTACATTCACTGGAGTAGAGATCTGTAAAAAGCCACTAAGAAAATGCTTGCAATCTCCTATTAAGTATTTCACCAAATTCTCTCTACTAAATTCTAAATAACCTAAGTAATGTTAAATTCAAACAGTAATAATAAGCAGAAGCAGAAAATTTCATTTTGACAAAGTACCAAAAACTTTCTTTAGGAAAGCAGTCCTTTTGTCCAAATGCTAAAAAATAAGAAGTGATATTTTAGTTCAAATAGCTAACCACCAGGCATTCCTCTAGCAAAAATTCAAATTTTATGTGGTCTAGAGCTTAAATTCCACTCCAATAGTTTTAGGAGGAGCAAACCAAATAAAAAGAAACAATCCTCCATTCTCCAATACAGCAAGAGACACTTGGAACTGCTTTTGTGCAATGTTCACTTCAGTATCTGCCAGAATTGGAGATGGAGTGAGATGGAAAATAAACAGAACTATTCTGCAAGCTCAGTGTCCATTTCTTGCTTTTGGGAAGATCAGTGTTTCTCTTCTCTCCCAGCTGAAAAGGAATATATCTTCACCCAGGATAGCACAGAAGATATATTTACAACTCTCTAAAAGTTTCTTGAGACTTCTCTTACTGAACTGTCTCTCCGAGGAGAAAGCCACAGAGAGAAGCCAACAAATCTCCATTAACTCTCCAAGCAGGAGAGGCCAAACCTCACTCTCCAGCAAGCCAGTAACTCCACTGCTATTTCTGTGCTACAGAAAACCACCCTCTTTGTAAAATTTGTCATGTTGGTTAATCCTTTACATGTGTAATTTCCAAAATGCACAATCAGAAAACTTGGCATTGCCAGTTTTTAAATCCAGGCACCAGCTGTGTACTAAAATTGCCTCTAGAAACTCAAACATGCTGTTGGATAGTTCTTAGGAGAACTTTAAAATAAATAATTACTTGATAGAAAAGTCCTCCTATAGTCCACACTGTATAACAACTCGAAGTGCTCACTAATGGATTTACTTCATTTTTAACACTGAATCATAGAACCTCAGTGCTTATAAAATATATTCACTGGTGCAATAAAAATGGCAAGTAGCAATACTGGCATCTCAAATAACACTTTGCTTTAAAAAAGCCAAAGCATCAAAACGGAGCTGTGAGGTAAGAAAACAAAACAAGTCTGGACAAAAAATATTAATTGTAAGCTATTACCTGCAGGAGCTTTAGCTTGTGAACCGTTCCCAGCTCTCATATTGGGCAGTGTTTGTGTTTTCAGTGGCCCATCAGGTACCTGCAAAGCTTGTGTCCCATCTGAAAATGCTGGCTTCACCAAAAGCTCAGGTCTGGAAGCAATACGTGGCATAGTAGAGGACTGGATATAAGGACCTACTGCTGCCACTCGGCTTGGAGCAGAAGCCACTGGCTGTGGTAAATTCCCATCTGAAGAAACCTTGGGGAAAAAAAGAAAAGAAGAAAATATAAAGAATTTTATTCTGCAGTGTCCATCCACGGAGTTTAAAAAAGAAGTAAAAAATAATAAAACAAGTAGCAAATGATACTCCAATATCAAAAGTGCTTTTTTGAAACAGCTCTGAGAATTATAAAGTTGAGGTAGTAATAGCAAAAAAAAATCTAAAAATAAAATTCCACAACAACATAAGACTTCTTGTCTGTAAAGAGTAAGTAGGTTAACACTAATGTACCACGAAAAGGACTTTAATAATACAAGACTTCCACTACATATGGATAAAGACAACAAGTCTAGCATCTCAACAGCCTTCCCCCCAAGCAGGTTTTTACTTCAGGCTGTACAGACAAGAGACAGAATTAATGTTTTAGTTATGAAATAGCCCCCACTTACTGGTACATTCTCTTTCTGTTGCAGAGCTGCCTTTTTCTTCCACAGCCGCTCGCGCAGCTCATTAACACGCTTATCCATGACTGCCACCTCCAAGTTGCGCTTGTTCAAACACTCCCTCTGTTGCTGCAGCTTGGCATTCTGCTCCTGGTTCAGTTTGTTCCTCAACTGAATAAATTCACAAAGCAGTGGGGGAGGAGGGGAAAAACAACCAAAATAAAAACAAATTCACTTTCAGGATCGAGGACAGGAAACTGTCGGAAAGAGAAAAGCTTTCTAAAAAGTCAAGTCATGTTTTCCCTCCGGAGAAAACTTTGGTTAGTCTCCAAATCTTGCAGAAAGGAAAGGTACAGACAGTGTGTGCTCCTTCCCCTCTTTACCTTAAACCCAGCACAACTAACCCTCCATCCTCAGCATGCAGGCCATCACACACAGCCCTGGCAGCAACAGGAGCAACGGGATTTCTTTCCAACCAGGTAGGAAACAGCCCAACCAACTTGGAGCCCAGAAGAGCTGAGGGTCACAGGCTGGCCTCCCATTACCTGCAGCTCTTTGTAGAGGCGGTCGAGCTCAGCTACAGCCGACTGGTTGTCGTGGTAACCATCAATCCTGCCGTTCTTCAGCATCTCCAGTTGCCTGGTGAGCTCCTCCACTTTGGACACGGCCAGCACCAGCTCGCGCTGCTTTTGCTGGAACAGGCTGTTCATCTGTTCAATCTCCTCCACTGCAAAGAAGGGCAGAGCACAATAGCTGCCCTGAGAAACAGCCCAGCGTGGGCTGCTTCCAAGGCAGCACTTAAGGAGACAGAGAGCGCCCTGCCGGCCTCAGAGCAGGGCTGCTCAGCCAAACCCACTGCCCTGTCACACCAGCTCTTCCTCTGAGCTCTGGCAAATGCAGGCTCACTAGAATGCTTATGGAAATTTGGTCTACTTAGAGCACTGACAGGGAGGGGAAGAGAACTTTTTTTTTAAACTTTCTGAAGTATTGAAACAAACAAAACCGCAATGCCAGACTGAATTCATCTGGAGAAGCCTAAATTCACTAAATGCTGAATTCAGCAGGAAGATACTCACTGAACCACAAGGCATATTTATGATACTTGGAACTCTGAATTTAGGTCATAAGAACTCAGTGACAAAACACCCAAGCGGTCATATTAAACAAAGGCTTCAGAGAGCTTTTTCGGGTCTATTACAAACATCTGTCATCAGCTGCTCCCACTGCTGAAACTGTTCTATTGTAGAATGAAGTTAAGGAATCAGTAAGAACTCCAGCAAGTAACAAAATCAGACCTGCTGGGGATGGTGCAGGAAAACAGATTCACATGCTCCAAGATCTTCTATTATTCTACCATCCTTCCAAGCCTTAAAACATAAGTTTCTTTTGTGCAACAGAACCCAACCAGAAAAGGGATTCTCTGACAGAAAAACACTTTTGCTTCATCTGTCAACCAAAATGCTTCCTACTAAAACAACGTACTCATGTTTTCAGTTGAGTCAGGCTGGAAAGAACAAGTTCTGTACCACAGAGAGGATGAAAAGGTAGACAGAAGAATAAATATTTATTTCAGACTTAATGTTCAATCACCACGCTGAACTATAAGCACCCAACAAGTACTATAGGAAGTGAGACCCTGGTTAGATTCACATAACTAAAAAGCAAATATGCAGCCAATTTGGCCATTAGTTACCTCTTGCATAGAAGGTAACTTGGGTACCAGGCAAAGCTTTGTTACAGACCAAGAAAATAACACTCTAAATGTGTAGGGTATTGACATCAAGGATGGAAAAAGTTACTGTGGTGCACAAAGGTATTCAAGGAAAAAAAGTACACTGTAATTAAAGACCAGACATGCTAGGCTCAAAATACAGGGTGCTCTTATAGGATGTTTTTAAATATCATAAGAAAATATATTTTGTTCTAGGTCAGCCATGAGTTTTTTTGGTAAATACAAGACATGAAATTGTTAAGATCACTATCTCCTGGAATCCTCTGAAATCACCAGAAATTTTTGACTTCTAAGAACTGCACTTCATGAAAAATCCCGGCTACCTTCCCTAAGCAGCAACTCACCTAATTTCCCATTGCTGAGTCTTTTTTGCTCCACATGACCTTTCAATGCCCTCACTTTCTTAAGTTTGGCTTCTTGATTCTCAGCAATCTCCTTTAATCTCTTCAGTTTTTCCTGTTCAGCAGCTTGCTGTTGCTGTCGCTGATCTTGCTGCTTCAGGAATTTCAGGCGCTGCTCCTGCAGTCAAGACAAAGATTTTGAAGTCTAAGAAAAATTTAAGCATTCATGTTCCAAGACATTTACTAATTTGTTTTAATCACTACTCAGCACTTGAGCTACAAGAGCCAAGGACTATTTCCTCTTCACCTTCTCCATGCTGCTTGTACTTTATATATCTCTATTATGTGTCACATTTTAAACAACTAAGTCATGCTAGAGAATATTAGGCATTATTTATGTAGAAGTATTTCATAAATTATTGGTATTTTCCATTACTATTTTGTACTTTTACTAGTTCTGCTAAAACCTCCTTGAGATGAAGGAGGCTGCACACCAAACCTCTGAAAAGACACTGGAGTCCTGATAATGATCACCACTATCACCACACAGATAATTCAAGACACTGGGAAACCTTTACAGTGAACTGGCCCTCATTTGAACAACAGATATCACCTTAATGGAGAGGATCCTTTTGCCTTTAGAGAGTAAAATAATGTGTTATCAGTGTCTACATACACTTGTCTAGTTTAGACTTAGAAGAAACTATGGGACCACTAGATCATCTACAGAAAATTCCTCTAAATCACTGGCCATTACATGGCTTCCAGCTCTGGAGATGACAGGCTGCTCCAGGGGAGTAGAACTAGTGAGACTTTCTCCAGCATTCACTAAAATCCAAGACTACCACTACTTACTAACATTAGAAATCCACACTTCCTCCAAAAAAACCAAACCATAAAAGAGAAAAAAAAACCCCACCAGTCAGATTTAGAAAATGGGGATTCTTGTGCACTTGGAATAAAAAAGGCAGAGCAAAGAAGTGAGCCTGCCTTTTGGAGGAAACCAGGACCAGGCAGCATCCTCAGTGTATGCACTACTTTAGAGTCACTCCCACGCAGGAAAATGTCAAAAAAAAAAGAGATTACAGCTCGTGTCTAAAAAGAAAGTGTGTTTTTCCTCCTTCAGAATCTATTTTTAATATTGCATCTGATTTCAGAAGGCAGGAAAGAGGCAATGGAAAGTCACTCTGAAGAGGCACCTAATAAAGCAAGTTTGTTCCAGGCAGGCACTGAAATGAAAAATCCTACCAGTGGGACACCCACAGGGCTACTCTTCTTCAAACCACAGACAACAAACACTTACCCAATGGGTAGCTACTGAGACTCAAACTCATATTTTTATTTTTTAAATCATTTACAGTAAAAATAGTGTTCCTATTTCTTGTCACTACAGTGTTATTTATAAGACCAGGGTGTATTGCCATCATCTGTGAGTGAAGCAAAGTTTAGGCTCCTCATATATAAACAGATCTCAGCTGGAACTGAGAAGAGGGCAAAATTCTTTGGCCAATTAAACAAGGCAGTGTGGATATTAATTGTGCTGCTACATTTCAGGTGAAACTTCTCATCACTTAGTTGATAGACCAATTTCCTGCATCATGGATGCACCTGTTCTTACCACAAGCAGAAGAAGTTTTTTTGGCTGTTTTGACAGGTGCTGCAGAACTATTAGAAAGCCATGGCTTGAAGAATTTCCCTGAGATACAATTATTGAGTGCCAAGGGAGCTGAACAAGGATACTAAACATACAGACACACAGCTGATCTCAAAGGGAGAGGGTGTGTGACACAGGAGAAGCACTGAGAGCAGATGCTCAGAGCAGCCTTCTACTCCAGCAAAGCACATTCTGAAACCCATGGGAGCATCCACCCAGACAGATCAGCCCTCTTCAAGACAGGCTCACATTTCACAATTCTCTGCCAAAAGCATCATTTTCTGTTACATGTTCAAGGGTAATGTGTACCAACAACACTCAAACAAAACATGAGCTATGTGCCAGCATTATGCAGATAAATTCAGAGTATTTTTCCCCTACACAATTCAGGAGCACCCTGTGTGCTTCCATTAGCTTTTCTGTTATTGTTCTGCAAGCATTTTATAAATCACAGTCCTAGGTTATTTTATCACATACAAGACACCTTTTCCAGCCAGCTGGCCCAGAAAACCAGGAACACTGAACTCTTATCAGGAGAAGGCAAGACAGCATGACAGGACAGCAGAGACAAAAGCATTGTTCAGTGATCAAACTGGTGAATTGCTGGTCACCACACAGAGCACAAACAGAGCTGACAGAGCCACCAGGATGAATGACAATATATTAACGTTATGTGCCTTATCCTTTCAGTAAGCTAAATGGTCACTTCTATCACTGGCATCATTTGTATGTTTTACAACTGGATATTTGCATACATTGACTTTCAAATTTAAAAACAGGCAGCCAAAGCAAAGGAGCCCTCTGTTTAGAAGGGGTGAAAAAACCCCAATCCTCCCTCCACTTCACATGACTCTTACTACCTTTGTTTCTGGCTGTAAACAATCTAATTTCAAACTCACCTTGTTAGCCAGCATTTGTTGTTGAGCCTCAATTTGTTGCTGTTGGCGTGATGCCATTTCCTGAAGTTCAGCCAGTGTCATATCCATCCTTGGTGCACTTACCTGTCAAAGAAAACCCAAAGCATGCTAAGTCTACCATTTTTAATTTGGCTAGCACTTAATAGAGCTACTGCAGAAAAGTATGATAAAAGTCTTTTAAATAAACCCCAACTGAATAGCCAATAAAATAATTGGAGAGACACAGTATCTTCTTATGGTAAAACAAATAATTGTAAGCTCATATGTAGCCCAATCCAACAACTCACAGAAAATTACATTTTTGGAACATTAATGTTTCTAGCAGCAAAATCCCAGCAGCTGCATTTTAAAGAGGCATTTCAGAGCCTTTATAATTCAGCTCAGCATGAATCAGCTTTGACTGACTGAGCCCAGGATGCTCAGTAAGTGGCAGCATGGATCTCTGCTCGTAGGTGTATCACTACAACTTGAAGCACTTCCACGTAAGCTGAAGAAAATAGAAAGTTTAAATAAGGCTGGGCAGGAGGGAAAACACCTCTCAAAAACAGCACTGTTATTGGTTGTCTGTTCAGACATTTCCTGAGTCTAGATTCAATCTTACATCCATAATATTATGAAACAAGAGTGGCAGACAATGGGTTCAATGCTGAAACAGTAACTGGTGTCAACTTGAAGTCTGGAGTTAAGGATCTTTGACAAAACTGAAAGAGAAAAAAAAACCCAAACTGAAATAATATGAGAAAAAAATTCTGATGAGAGAAGGGGAACTATGGTGAATTTGTGGCTCTGAGATCACCCGTACAAGCACAGCTATGGCAGCCAACAGATCCTGGTGACATCCTGAAAACTGAAAGCCTGGATGGTAACTGCTAGAGGCTTTGTGTCTGTTTTGGAGCAGCCATTACCAGCCTCTCCACAACAGCCTCTCATTTCTTTCCATGGCACTATTTGCACCAGTATCTCCAAAGAGGGAAAGCCTCCATTTTCACTATAATGGTAATTCTTCCAGAGGCCTGTGGGTGCTAAGTGTCACAGTATGTTCACTCAATGCCATTTTGCTTTTCCTAGGAGTTTATGAGGTTATTTCCAAAGTTAGTCCTTTTGTTTGATTCAATTCTCTCCAAGGTGGTGTCACAGTATGTTCACTCAATGCCATTTTGCTTTTCCTAGGAGTTTATGAGGTAATTTCAAAAATTAGCCCATGTCACCACAGAACACAGCTCTCAAGGCCACATTGGACTTTTTCACAGGCCATATGAGGCTGCCAAAGGGTGAGTGGGTCCTGCTGAGCACTCCTTGGCTCTCCAGTCAACCAATTATTTCATGGGTGGGAATTACAGAGCCTCAGTTGATGGGATATTGCTGCCAGTGCACTGTCCTGGTAGCAATTGTCACTTGCTGGTCTTCAACTTGAAACAATCCCACAATGAAGGGGTCTTTTTGTGCCAGGCAGGGTGGACAACTGATTTTCTCTGTATTCACAGTAGTTACAGCTAAACCCTATCAGTACCCCTTGGGATTCCTGAAGTACCCTCTCCTGAGGTAATTGAAGCCAAGGGTACCAGGGGCCTCTGGGCCAGCCACAATGGGGTGCTTTTGCCATTTGTCCCCTGTCAAACTCACCTCAGCCTCTATTACAGACAACACCTGGCATCCCCCAGTCATTCCACAGACCCAGATGGGTTCTACACTCCTGTGCCTTGATGGCATCAGTAACACACACAGTTATCTACTACAGTTTTATACTTGTGTGGAACTGATGTGCCAATCAACTGAATCCACACAGCCCAGTGTGCCCAGTCATCTCTTTCCTCCTCCTGGCCAAAGGCAAGGACCCTCTATTCCTGTTCAGAGTAATGTGGCTGACCTTGGTGATGCCAGAGCAGAAGTCCCCTCACCAAGGTTAAAGGAGGGAATTTCAGTCCTTTTACATCTGGGAGATCACTGATTGCCTTCCTATCTCTCTGTGGCAACTACACTGACAGCCTTGTTGGGTGACCCTTTCTGAACAGCTCTCTTCCCTCTCATGGACATGGGCTTCCAGCTTAGAGCTCACCATCCCACTGCCTCATGTCCTCTCCCTGCTCACACAGGAACAAGTTCTTGGGGCTTCCCTTCCCTTAGACTGGGGCAGGAGAGGAGAGATCTCTTGGGCTGCCCCTAAAATCTGGGGTGCTGACTGTAGGGATGTGGAAGTACCCAGTTTCTTCTACATGTCAAAGCCAGGAGGATGCCACCTCCACAGGTCTATCCATCTGCAGGTAACACAGTACCACCAAGGTGCTGGAATATGATGCAAGGGCTCTTTGAACCACCTTCCTCCACATGGCCACTGTGCAAGGGATATCCTCTGGATCTTTAGGGACATTGCCACTTTTTAGATCACTACAGATGACTTCCAGCACTGCTAATTCTCTCAAGTACTGAATACCTTCATGCAGTGGTTCACTTTCCTTGGAATTTACAGGATCTTCCTTAAAAGGCTACCCTGCCCTCACACAAGAGGAGCCATGCCAGAAACTGCAAATTGCTGTTTTCCAATACCTCTTTCAATTTTCTGATCTCTGGCAAGGGATCCCAGCTGTTGGGCTTCAAGACCTTCCAAGTGCTGACTGTCAGCCCCACTAGCCCAGCACTGAAGCAGCCAGGCAGAAATCTGCTCATGTGGCTGGCAGCTATAATCTTTTCACAAGTCTTGAAGTTCTGATGAGGTCAAGGACCAAGTAACTTTGTCTCCTGTTTGATTTATCTCACTCCTTGCAATTTATTTTTTGAAGGACTGGCTTCTTTATCTGACTCCCACTCTCCTTAATTCTCCTTCTCCAAACCCCACAGGGTGCCAACATTATTAGTTAATATTATTAACAGTATTAAACAGCTTACATATGCATCAGCAAAGACCATGGGAGCCTGCATTTTAAAAACATTCACATCAGTCTCAGGCAGGGAGAGGGAGGTGTATTCCCTCATCATTCCCACAAGACAGCTCCCCCAGTGTAACAAGGCCATCAGTGTGAGGGCAAAGCACAGAGCTATTGTTTATATTATTAATGTTCCCAAACTCAGAAAAACAGATAAGCAGTGCAGCTGACAAACTCTGTGTCCCACACAGGAGCTTGATACTTGGCAACTACAAAGTATTTATATATATACATACATACATATATATATATGTATGTATGTATATAAACTGCCTTTGTCTCATCCCAGTTCAGAGACCAGAAATGACTGTAGCTAGTTGACCTTGGCTGGAAGCCAGGTGCCCACCAAGCTGCTCTACCACTCCCCTTCCCAGACAGAGCAGAGAGAATAAGCTGGAAAACAACTCCTAGGCTGAGAAAAGGCAGTTTACTAAAGCAAAGGCAAAGAAGTTTGTTCAAGCAAGCAAGGACAAAAATCAATTTATTCTCTACCTATGAGAGAGCGATGTCCAGCCACTTCCCAGGAAACAGGGCTTCAGCACAGGAAGCAGTTGCTCCAGGAGGCAAACATTGTAAAATAATACATGTTCCCCTGTTCCTCCTCCTTGCCTTGGCTTTTGTACCTCAGCTGACGCCACATGCCAGGGAATATCCCTTTGGTCACTTTGGGTCAGCTGGTCTGGTTGTGTCCCCTCCCAGGACCCTGCCCACTGCCAGCCCCTTGATGTGGGGGGAATGTTGAGACAGTGCTGATGCTGTGCCAGCCCTGCTCAGCAGGAGCCAAAACTCTGGAGTGTTATCAGCACCCTTCTGGCTGCCAATGCAGAGCACAGCACTGGGAGGGCTGCTGTGGGAAAATGACCTCCAGCTCAGCCATTGCCTCCAGCACTTACCCCATTCTCTATTCTTCGATCACCAGGCACTTTGACACCATTTCTTTTGAAGGCTGGATCTTGAGACCTTTGTCCAGTCCCTAGAGAGAAACAGCCAAAGATGGTAAGGTAATATAAGATTTTTCTTATCCTTTTAGACATAGCTTTCAGCACAAAAGGAGAATCAGAATAATCATTATAGTGTAGAATCTAATCACCCGTTCTTATTTGTTTACTATCAAGATGAATTTAAGTGATGACACAACACATTTTCTGAAAAGCTTTCTGTTCAACATCAACTTTTAAAGTATAATTCTGTTCAAAAATACAGACAAACAAAAATAGCTTAACTAATAGTATGCTATTCCAGTATTTATCCTGTGTCAAACAGGCAGTCAAGTCAGCCCTACTAAATGTGCATTACAGATGCACAGTTTAAAAAGCACATTTTTTTCTTCTTCCTGGCAGTAATTGTGTCAGTAAAGCTGCTGCTTAACTAGAACCCTACTTTATTCCCATCAAATTATGTGCAAATAGTGCTCAGATGCCCAATACCAATCTCACTGATTTCCCTGTAGAACATAAATGTACTACAGGACAAAGCCATGCCTGTTACCTTCTTGCCCATTTGATTCCTCTTTCAAGACTGTATTTCTGTGAGACTAACTCAGAATTCAAATACTTTGCTTAGCAATGGTGTGGCAAATAAAATTACAATAATCCTAATACTACAAGCACCCTGGACTTGAAAAAATATATTTTGACAACTAAACTGCTCTGTTGGATCCTCAGCAGGTAGAAATGGCACAGCTTTAGCTTTTCATGCACTCATTCTATCACCAGTATACATTTCAAATATGGAGATACAGTCAGACATCTAAAGTATGCTGGGTATAATGCCGCTTAACAAATTCAGTATTTCCAACATTAAGGAATATAACCATGGTTGAAAACAGAAAAGAGGGAGGAAGAAGAATTGGGCAGATTGATTTAAAGGTAAAAGTGAAAGATTTTTCTGAAGTAAATGTGGGATACACAGAAAACTGCTGAAAAGCTGAAAGTAATTTCCTTTACAGGTTTCACATTTCAATTTACAATGAGAATTATACTCTCAGAGAACTTCACCAGGCAGTTCATTTAATGCTATTCCTAAAACTAACACAAATGTGTAGGAGAAACTTTGAAGAGCTCTATCTTTGCCCAGTATGCCAAGTTGATCACCCTGGTAAATTATTATCCAGGTGAATAATCACCCAAATCACTAAGTACATTATTGGGCAACAGTTTGATTACTATTTTTAAAAGAGATCACCACAGATTTCAAGATATTTTGCTGGAGAAAATATATTTAACACAGTATGCCCTTGGATGCTTTGGTGATAACCAGCTCTAGAAAACCTGCAGAAATTTCAACTGGGATTTACTATTCCCAGATATAGCAAGGAAAGATGAATCCTTTACAAAGACTAGCCAACAGTCAGACAAAAAAAAAGGCTGCAACACCTACTGGCTATGAACATTAATAAATAACACAAAGTTGTTTCCTTAACCTTAAGAATGAAACAGAACTTGAACAGAAGAACCAGCTGAGACCAAGACCTACCAGCTTCCCGGCAGGGAGAGCGCTCGTGGCGGAGAAAGAAACGCACCTCGCTCCTCTGCATTCCAAACCTCTGCAGGATATCCAGCATCCGTTCATTATCGGCTATGGGGCGCTCTGAAAAGGTAAAAAACAGTGAACTGCTGCATCCCACCACAGCTTGGGCCCACAGCAAACCAAAAATATCTGTGCATCTTTCACCTGAACACTCTGAGTGCACAGGTACAGTGAGTGCACACAATGCTTGCCCTCATCCAAGGGATTTCTAGTTTTCTCTTAAGAAGCCACTGCATTGCTCCTTGCTTCTGAAACTAAACCAACACCTCTGAACAGCAGCCCTGGAAAAGTCCACCCCTGAAGGGAAAAGCTGAGGCACAGCTCAAACAGGGAATTTCGAGCTTTCAGTTCTAGTGTCCTTATTTTGTAAGTGCACATCACCTTACCCACTCACCAGCCCAGGAAATGTGCTGTTGTACCTCTCACTCCTCTTCTGTGGCACCTCAGACAAACTCATCCCTCAGTCATCCCCACCCCCTCCTCAAGGGCACTGCTGCCACCATTCCTACAGGGACTCATTTACTTCCTAATTCCAAGGAGAATGAAGAGAGATGCAAAGATAAACTCTCAGGGAAGAGGAATTCTTCTCTTAACGCTGGATGGCAGCCCTTGCATTCCAGCTCAGGCAGGAGCACTCAGCAGCCTGCAGAGGCTCCCTGGCAGCACCCAGCGGGCCTGATCCTCAGCGTGCCAGCACAGCTCCTGTCACTTCAAGTGTTCTCCCACAGCTCCTGTCAGACACAGATCCAGCTCATTGTCCTGGACAGCAAATTTCATGAACTTCAGACGAGATGCATTTTGAAAGCCCTACTTCTGATAAACCTTGAAAAGCTGAACTACTTTGGATTCACAGCTCAAAGTTAAAAAAGGATCAGACAGTGAAAAGTGAGCCCAGTAAGAACTTGCCATTTCCTTTCAAATAACTGTGATGAAAAAGTTACATGCACAAATTCCACTGAATTTCTTTTCCTGCTTTTATCCCCAAGCTCAGGATTCAGTCATATAAGTAATTTTTAAGCCTTACTTGATGCCTTTTGATAATAGAAAAACCCAGTGTGAGTCTAAATCTACCACTACTCCTCCCTTTCTGTATTACCATTCTTTAAAAATTTACACATATCACAACCAGGCACTCACAGCCAGAATATAACTAGAATTACTTATTGGCCTCTAAATCTTTACATAAAAGCAGTTTCTTTTGTTATTCTGGATGTTTTACCATCAATTTTTCTGCCCATTTTAAATTTGATGGCAACAGCGTGGTCAATATATCACAGTAGTGAATTTACATAGCCAGGATACTGTCACAGTATCCTCTAACAACATTGGGGCTCATGATCATATTCCTGGCCTGAGAAATAAGACAAGCAGACAAAGAATGAAATTAAATATCACCACTTTTGCACCAGTTTCATTTTTCCTGACGTTGCCTTTGTTGGCAGTTTCCTTTCATTTTTTTAAGCAAGGGGAGGGGAAAGATAGAAAAAAAGAAATTAGAGTAATTCATTCATATTCAATAAAGTCTTTCAAAAAGTCACTGTCTTAATATGAAATCATCTTTTCAGCAGGAAAAATTGTTGGCATTAAGTATAAATGTTTTCAGTTCCATTAAAAAAAGGAGCTGCTAACATGTTTTCAGTATGTGAAAAGCTCTTTTCAACATAAAAGTGTTTCTTTAAATGAAAATGCTGCAGCTGTGCTCAAGCAATCTAGGAAGGAGAATTTCTGGAGTCACTGTCAAAAGAGATTAGCTTTACAGAATAAGCAAGTAGGTCACTGTTACAGAAAAAGCCGTCTCTTGGCGGTTACTTGTCTAGACAGCGAAAAACGTTCCTCATGCTAAACCTTAATTCAAGTCAAAAAAGGGAAAAAAACACAACAACAACATCAACAGTACCACGGGCAGATTTTTGTCTTGAAGGCTATACAGCAGGCTTATGAGGCAGATTTCTAGCAGCACAGCAATACTTCAGCTGAAACTCTATAATCAAGGGAGATGCCCTTTACACAAGGATTCTGTCAATACCACTCTCTGGCTTCAAAGGAAGGTCAAAGAGATTTTCAAATACCAAACAAATGTAATTTGGAAAGCTCAAGAAGAATGGACAATCAGTTTTCTTTTTTTCCTTCTCTCTCATACAGAAAAAAAAGGAGATCTTTATACATGTACTCCTTTTGACTGCTTTCCACAGCAGGCAAGGTAACTGCCTAACAGAATTCTGACAATAATAGGAAGGTCAAGAAATTTTGCCTTGATATTCATGAAATTTCAAGCAAAACTAGGAGGACAGGGAGAGTAGTAAACTTGCCCCCTTCAGGGAGCAAAGTGCCTCAAGCACACTTGCAGCAATCTTTCAAAGTAGGCTTAATAAGGTCTGACAATAGAAGCTAAAATTCCTCAGCAAGTGTCAGAAAAAGAAAGAAACAAGTGATGTAAGAAGGAGCCCAATAATTGAAGTCTGAGAAGTCATTTTCCAACACAAATCCTTTGTTTCTATCCCTAGAGGTTAGCTGTCCTACACCATGTTTGTTTTAAAGCACTTGAATTTGTTCAGTGTAATATGCAAACAAAACAGAAATCATGGCTAATCCTGGCAGAACAAGATGGAAAACTTTGCTGACATCGAACATGAGATTAGCAGAAAGCTGAAAGTATTTCTCTCCCCCACTGCCTCCTCCCCTTGCCAAAAAAAATCCAGAATATATATGAAAACATCTTGCAAATGCTTGTTGCTGGATGCTACACAGATGCTTAAGACATATTTTATCCAAAGCAACATGCATGAATCCAGGGCTCAAATCTTTTAACGCTATTGAGATAAATGTATTTTTGTTAACAAGTACACTTGGGAACTGCATTCGGACCTCCAGCAAGGCCAACTGCTGAGCCCTGCCCTTGGGTCACAACAACCCCAAACAGTGCTACTGGCTGGGGGCAGAGTGGCTGGGAAGCTGCCCAGTGGAAAAGAGCCTGGGGGTGCTGGTCAACAGCAGCTGGACATGAGCCAGCACATCCAAGCAGGGCACTGCCATCCTGGCCTGTGTCAGCAATGGTGAGGGCAGCAGGAGCAGGGCAGGGACTGTCCCCTGTGCTCAGCACTGCTGAGGCCACACTTCGATTGCTGGGTCCAGTTCTGGGCTGTCACTGCAAGAAGGACATGGAGGTGCTGGAGAGAGTCCAGAGAAGGGTCATTGTGGTATTCACATGCTCTGGAAAATTCCCTTCACCCAGGATTTGTTCCTGGGAAGCTGAAATGCCTCAGAGAAAAGAAAAACAGTTATTATCTCATTTGCCTCTCCTGTGTTTTGCTCCTTTGAAATGTGTTTGAAGATTGTTTACCTACAAGTGATTGTTTCATTTAATTCTTGTTTAAGTTGTTTTCACTCATTGGCCAATCAGGGCCAAGCTGTGTTGAGACTCTGAAAAAAGTCAGGAGTTTTCATTATTATATTTTTAACACTGACTAAATACCCTTTCTGTATTCTTTAGTATAGTTTAGTATTCTTTAATATAACATAGTATTATAAAGTAATAAATTACCCTTCTGAAATCAGAGTCAAATTCATCATTCCTCCCTACAGCAGGAATCCCTGCAAATACAACAGGCCATGGAGCTGAGGAAGGGTCTGGAGCACGAGTCTGATGAGGAGCAGCTGAGCTTGTTCAGCCTGGAGAAAAGGAGGTTCAGGGGAGACCTCATCACTCTCTACAACTCCCTGACAGGAGCTTGCAGCCAGGTGGGGGTCGGTCTCTTCTCCCATGTAACAAGTGACAGGGGAGGTTAAGGTTGGACACCAGGAAGAATTTCTTCACTTGAAGGTTGGTTAAGCATTTGAACAGGCTTCCCAGGAAGGTGGTAGAGTCACCACCCCTGGAAAGGATCAGGAGACAACTGGACATAGCACTTAATGCCATGGTCTAGTTGGCACGGTGGTGTTTGGGCAAAGGCTGGGCTCAATGATCTTGGTTTACACTGTAAAAATGGTCTAAATGTTTTTTGTCTTAGATATCTGTTCTTGTGTGTCTCAATGTCTCTGCAAAGACTAATCTCAGAAAAAATTCTCTGCTTCACTTTATGTTTCTGTATCCAGATTATTTTCTTACACCTCCCTGACTAATACTGATAGCTCACTAGAGGCTGATAATTTGATGGTATAAATAAAACACTGCATACTTTATTGTCCCACTCACACAGAAGCTCATTTTCCAGCTTAACCAGAACATTTGGGCACCAAGTACTGCCAGACTTCACTTGCCTCTTCCCACAGGTGCTCTCCTTTGATTTCAGCACAATCTTACTGCCCTTTATAGCAAACACCACATGATCATCTCAAAAGCCAAGCAAGAATCCAGGTTCAGGAAACATGAGAGGAGCTGCCCACTCTAGCACAGCCCCAACTTCATTACCAACAGGAGAACCCTGTCCCTCATCACAGCCACTTGTGCTCTTTAATAGGATGTGGGCATTAAGGCTAACTATAAATTCAATAGTTTTACCTAAACCTTTATTTTACTTCTTTCACTGTGGACTTCAGTATTGTGTTGATTTAAAGATGTACAATTCAAATACATTCCTAGAAGACCTCTTTCCATAATGAATTGTTGATTTTATTTTTATTATCACTTCACTTGCCTCTTCCCACAGGTGCTCTCCTTTGATTTCAGCACAATCTTACTGCCCTTTATAGCAAACACCACATGATCATCTCAAAAGCCAAGCAAGAATCCAGGTTCAGGAAACATGAGAGGAGCTGCCCACTCTAGCACAGCCCCAACTTCATTACCAACAGGAGAACCCTGTCCCTCATCACAGCCACTTGTGCTCTTTAACAGGATGTGGGCATTAAGGCTAACTATAAATTCAATAGTTTTACCTAAACCTTTATTTTACTTCTTTCACTGTGGACTTCAGTATTGAGTTGATTTAAAGATGGACAATTCAAATACATTCCTAGAAGACCTCTTTCCACAATGAACTGTTGATTTTATTTTTATTATTGATGAAGCAAAGCTTCTTTATTTCTAAGGAGAAGAAAAAAATTCTGCTCCATTTTTTAGACTTAGAAATATTAGAAACATTACATCTCTGTCAAAAGCAAGTAAATATCAAGAGACAACTCAGGTATCTCATAGCATTAAATAAACATCCATCTCACCAAAGACTTCTTTTAACAGATGTGAGCCTGAGATAACAGCAGAGGAAGAGAGAAATATAAGCCCTTATCATCTGGTTCTTTTATAATCTTGTTGAAGCATCTCAAAAAGGTTGGCTTAGACATAATTCTTTTTCATTACTCAAAATCCTGCCAGGAATTCATCTGTCTTATGCCTCTGGATGGCTCCCAGTATCCAATGAGTACCATGGAGACAGGAGATAGTCCAGAGCCCTTCCCCATTTAAGCCATGAGACCTTAGTAATATTTTAGCTTTTATTTGTTGATATATTTTCCAGTTCCAATGGAGCACAGAAGTTTGAGAGATTTGAACTCCCAAGATCAGAAGAACATAGAAAAATTTTAAAAAGTTACGATGAGCCACATGCACAAACCCCTTTCAGGCTTGAAAGGACAGTCAGAAGTAAGTTGCTTCTCCATCCTCCCTGTCACCCACTTTCTTTAGAGCACTTCACACCAGGTACCTCCCACTACTTCTGCTAACACACTCCTTCCCATCCACCCCCAAGGCAATTCATAACACTGAAGGTGTCATCAGAAAACAAAAAATTTATTTTGCCACTGCAAGTGAAAATGGCTGTGGGGTTAAAGAAATTATTTTGAACTAGTCACAGAACTACCAATACTTAGCACCTCCATAAAGGCGGCTGGGATCCCACTGTGGGGAGGATGAGGAAGAGAAAAATACTCTCTCACACCCCTCAGACTCATCTGAATCACAGAAGGGCTGCACAGACACAGAAACATCTGCACATTCAAGTTCCCTTTTGCTTTTCACTCAGTTCTGCACGTGTGACCCTTCTTGCAGGTGGGTTATCACACAGCCAGTCTGATGAAGAAACCACTGAAATGGTAATGCAGAAACTCTCTGGACAGGATCACATCTGCCAGGTCTCCATGTGCTGCCTTCTCGGGAGCAGAGAAGGCCCAGCAGTTCACAGCCTGACCTACCTGAGCCACACCACACCTCAGCCAGGTGGCACTCGCTCTCCCCAGGCTCCTTGCACAGCTCCACCACATCCCTGCAGGTTGTCTCGGGGGTGACTGGCACCTCCGTGAAGTGCTGCTCATTGTTGCTGAGGTACACGGTCAGAAACATCTGCAGGAGACAAAGGCAACAGCACACGGTCACTTTCCAACACAAAGGCAGGCTGCACCTGGAGTCACAGCCGGCTGTTAAATGCATTCTTTCCCACACAGATAACATCTTATCAACTACAATGGGTACAATTTTCTAAACAACCCCGAATTTCTTTAAGGTATAAGCAAGAGAGGCTGCAGAAGTAATCCCCTGCTCAACTAAATTACATTGCTGGAGGATTACTCAGTTTTAAATCTGGATCTGGTGCTCCCCCCTTCCTTCTTCAGGTGAGGTGTCAGAACTCCTCCCACCTGACTAGGTATGTATGTATCCTGCAATCATTTGAGACAGCAGGAGAAACAGTCAACTAGAGTTCATTAGGAGTGAAAAACAATGGTAATTACATCTGATGTAAAAAACCACCAGAGTTTACCACATAGGTAGCATCCACATAGGTAGTGGAGTGGAAACACAATTTGCGTTTCTGTAACATATTTCATAGAAAGGTTCCTAGAAACACAAGTCAGCTTGCTGTGCTCTTAGTCTCAGCCTGAATACAAGGTCACCCCCCAAACCCCATTTCCAGGAAACCAAGGATATTTTACTTGGCTTCCTCTTCACAGCTGGAGAAGGTTCCTTGATCTTTGGTTTTTCTGTTTATACACACCACACAAGTTCTTGTTTGTGTCTTTCCTGCCACAACTACTAAACAAGCACTCTGAAAACTTAGCTGCCATGTTGATGACTACTGCCTCTGAGCATCATCTAGCTACATGCCATTAATATTAAACTGCTATCAAAGTTTAGCTGCTAGCTAAAAATTAATGTCAATTCTCTTGAGCCCAATTCTCAACTTTAGTCTCAACTGGCTGTTAGTCACACAGCCTCCAGTAAAGCAAAAATCAGTCAAATATCTCCAGAAAGCAATTGCTCCACTAAGCATTTCAAGCAACAGCAACCTATATAATTCAGGATCAATTTTTCATACAGATGGAAAAGGTGCTTTCTCAAGAAAAGACACAAATCCTTGCCTGTCCTCATTTCTAAAGGGTGAAGGGGGTATACACCCTTAGGAGCAACAGTTCAAAAGGACAAAGAGGAGGATAAGGCAGCCAAATCAAACAAGGGGGAAGAGGCATAAAAACCCTTCTAAATAAACTTAAATAATCATTTTGTAAAAATAAAAAACCCATTACTACATGCACTATTTTTGTGATTTTGTGTAAATACTGTGGAATTAGTTTTTTATGCCTTTGCAAAGAGAAATTTAGCCCCATCTGTTTCACAGCTTTAGGAATCCGCTGTTGGGGATTCTCAGGGAATACAACCATACACATTCCTGATGTCTCCAAAGCCTTTCCAGGGCTCTTTTGAATGCCAAGATCCCCTTCAACCCTATATGAGAGACTGCCTTTACTCTTTTAAAAGCTTTGACAAAACCACTCCAGACTCTGCACATCTTGTTACACAGACTGCAAGTATGTAGCCCACTTCTGGCAGTGTAAACACTTGCAAACAGTGTTTTTTGGGCCCTGGCACTACACCAAGAACACAGAATTTCTGACCACTGGTTTTGCCCAGCTCCCCAAGACAAGGTTTCTGATCAATTCCTGAACACCTTCTACAAATATTCACAGAGAGGAAAAAGCCTGCTGAAAGTGAGCTCAAAACTGCCCGATGGCTACATCCCCCTGCCCAATTCCTTGTCACTTTATGGGAGGGGAAAAAAAAAAAAAACAACCAAGAAATCAACAAGAAAACCAAACAAAAAAGCCAAACTTGGAGCTTGTAAGGAGGGAAACTAGGAAAGCGAATGTGGAAGTAGCTAGGATCAGTTTAACACACACTTATTGTATAGTGAAGATGAGCACAATGGGTTCTGCAGTCGACAGCACAAGGAGGCAGTGACCTAAATTAAGGGACAAAGCTTTCCAAGCAGGAACTCTGACACTTGGCTTTAATCTTTAGTCACAGAACATACTACCTTTCAGATGCAGTGTCTCTGACTCCCCTAGAGGAGCCTGACAGTGAAGGATGTCAGGTGCAGCCAGGTAAGAATATCTCTTAACCACAATTATTGGGGCAGAACAGTATAAAATAAAAAAGAAGTTCCCAAATAGATTTGCAGAAGGGCTATGTAGGTGTGTAAAACATATCAACCTTTCACATTTAATGCTGTACAACCTTGTATTCAGAACAGGAATGCCATTCAGAAATGGCACAGGCAGTGTGTTTGCAATAACATTTGTTAATTTAAAAGATGAGCTCACAGATGGGAATTAAGAGAAAATTATACAAACCATGGCATTATACACAAAGCAGACCTAATTTGACCCTAGCTGGGCTGTTCACTCTTCAGTGTGCCTGTCTATATCCAGTTGTTAATCCTTAGGATTTAGCAATGCAGACAACTACACAGGAAGGATCACGAGCTGCCATTTCCATCCACAATGCTCAGGATAATTACTAATACATTAAGCCAAGAGCACTCAAACCTGCTGTGTGGGGGCCATTGCTGGGACTTGGGAGTGTCTGCATTACCTCTAGCCTACATACTCTAGGAACTAAGGAAAGGAAAAGCAACCAAACTGCAAATTTCCCTCAAAAACACACCTTCAAGTCCTTAGAGTCTAAAGCAACTACAATGTTATGATACTGGTGTTACCTCCTCCTGCTTCCCTTCAGCTCCAGGGGCAATGCTGAGATGATCAAGTTCTGCAAGCAGATGTGCTACTCTCGCACCAAACGGTGTCACATTTGTCACCACCACTGCCCTGCAGGGCCTCCTGGGGTACCCTGCTGCCCACCTGGACATGCTGGAGCCTAGGGCAAGCTGACCAGAGAGTATCCATCACAGAGATGCCTCTTCCCAGAGAGGAGTGGGAAGGGTGAAGAGACCAATGAGAACCAAACTCCTGCTGCAGCTTCTCGGTGCTGCTCACCACCCTTGGTGGCCGCTGTGGCTGGCACCACCTCCAGCTGGAATCCCCAGGACTCGCTCCTGCTTCCCTTGGGAATGGTTCAACTGTGACATTCATTAACCACCCCACCAGTTAGTTTGTATCACTGTTTTATTGCTGTGTGGCAACAAGAAACAAAGGAAATGAGTGCTCTCAGGACACTTTGTTCATAAGCTGGTATCCTTACATCCACCTACAGCACAAAACAGTTTCTCGCTCCTCCCTGGAAATGAAGATGTTAAGACAGTTAGATACAAACATCCAGCAATTTCAGAGGAGAAAAAAAAACACCCCAACATGCAAAAAAATCAGTTCCAAACTAGGCATAAATTAACCACTTGATTAAAAAAAAAAAAAGGAAGACAAATTTCAATCAGAACTTGTAATTTTTTTAAGATAGCATGAGAGCAATTACTGAAACATCTGACAATTCCATATAGCCTTGGATGAGGTTTTTTTCCTCTAGACTTACAAAAATTGAGTTTTATGAATGTCCAGCACACACACCAAGCATTTTTTGAACAGGACTCAGATCCCTAAATTAAGATCTAAACTAGAAGATTGCCCTTCCTTTTCCCAGCCCATAACCATGCTCACTGTAGGTACTGAAAAGATTTAAAATATAAAAGCACTGCAGTACTTTGGCATACTTTGGGAGAAACCAGGGGTGTTGTGTATCTACTGAAGCAGCTCCTTTTAAAATCACATCACAGATTTCAGCTGACTCTGCTCCAGCTTAGAAAATAAAAGTTTGCAGTTATGGAGCCACCAAATGAGGCAGTTCGATCGGCTGCACCAAGGACATCAGAGGGAAGCCCAAGGTCACAGCAGCTAAAGCAAGGGAGAGTTTTTGCAAGGAATGACTGCAGTGTTTGACTTGCAAACAACTGGATGGAAAAGCAGAGTACAGAAATAAAGGACCTCGTATTTCAAAAAGCCTGCCATTGAAGTCACAAATATTAAAAAAATTCACATTGGTGTGAAGTACAACTTTGAGTACCCCCTGCACGAAATATATAATTTTGCTTCAACTCATATTATTTATGAATGAACTCCAACTACAGCCATGAAGTCAGGATTGTAACACACCCAGTAACAGGAAGGGAGCTTAGTAAGAAAAGCAACCAAACAGAAGGACAGAATAGGGCATAAATTAAATCAAATCATGGGCCATTTCCATCTCTCTCTGCACATCAAACAGCCTCACCTTTGCCTGCAAATCTGACCCATTCATTGCTGAGCTCATCAACGGGATCATTCCATACAATTACACCAATATTAAATACAAAAGGTCTCAACATCTGCAAATACATTTTCAACTGAAAGTAAAATATTTAAGAATGACTAGCTCTGTTAAAGTGCTAGGCTATGACCACATTCTATTCTGGCTCCTGCTTTGCTACACACAACAAAAACTAAAAACAAAATTATTTATTTTAAAAATCCAAACCCAGAATAAACCACTTTCAAAAACTAACCTGAGCAAACATATGTCTTATAATTCCCATCCATCCAACAAGATATCATTTCACATCAAAAGCCTTGAATCACTCCTTCTTAGATCAGAAGGCCTCAATTATTGATTAAAATGGGGGGAATAGAAATGCAATTTACTTTGTAGCTTTGATGGTGTTTCTGCAAGGATCAGACTTCTCTTATTCCTTAGTTATCATAAAGCTGATGCTACTCATCTTTGGAATTAAAAGGGTGCTAAATTGGATACTTTCTAATTCATATACTAATAGCATTCAAGTATTCAGGTTTCAAATATTCAGAAGAACACTCTTATATGGGGCATGATGTAAATTAAAATACACTTAATTAATTCCTGAAACTACCTGAGTTAAAAGGGACACATTTCCCACCTCCCCACATTTCCAGGGAAAGATCTAACTCTGATCATAAAACATCAACAACAGGCAACAATAAGCAAAACTCAGTCCCTTATAAAATATAATCATGAAGAGAATATATTAAAAAAATAACAACCTAACCCTGCTTTTCACTATTGTCTGGATTCCTAACTTTATGGAGGCTTCCTGCACAGCATGCACTATA